CCGTCTCCCCGCATCCCCATCCCGCATCTCCCCGCTCCCCGACCCTCTGCTCGCTTTGCGGAGGGTGACCGAGGGCTGCACGGCTGCGTTGTGCTGTGGGTGGGGTCCTGGGGGGGACCGCAGGTGTGGGCGGGGACCCGAGGGGAGAGCAGAGCCGGGCTGGGCTGAACCGAGTGCTGGAGGCCCCGCAACCCCCGCACTGCGCATCCATCGGTTAACAGAAGGACCTGACGGCCCCACAGCCCCAATCCCGGGGAATCCGTCCTCCCTGGGCCGCAAAACTCCACGACGAATCCCCGGCACCCGCACGCTGAGCGCCGCACGGCACCGGGGGGGGCGGCCGAAGACCCCTTCCTCCCGGCCTCGTGCCCTCGCCGCACATTTAGCTTTTCCTGTTTCAGCTTTGCCTGCGAACCCAATGAGGAAATAAGGCGGTGTCACATGCGCTGCGCTGACAGTTGGCCCCAGCGAATGCTGCCGGAGGGGTAGAGGAGCGCTGCTGGCAGCCCGGGGTCCCCCCAGGGCCGCCCTATAACCATGTTCTCCCGGAAGAAGCGTGAGTTGATGAAGACCCCCTCCATCTCCAAGAAGAGCCGCGCAGGGAGCCCCATCCCGCAGACTTTGCCGGTAAGTGCGGTGGGGAGGGAAGGATGGGATGGCAGGAGGGATGCGAGGAGGAAGGAAATGAGGAAGGACTCCACCGACGGGGCCGGGGGGACTTTGCTCCAGATGAAGGGGATGCAGCAACAGCCGAAGGATCCGGCACGCAGGGCTGGGGCTGCAGCAGAACATGGAGAGGTGGTGGAGGGACCGAGAGACCCCGACTGCTCAGGGGCAGGAGCAGGGGAAGTGAGGCTTGGCCAGCCCCACACCACGGCTCTGTTATGGGTTTATTTACTCATCGGTGACCCGGAGTGTAAGAGGAAGCGCTTCTCCTCTGTGGGGCGGCCAGCAGACGGGGTTCCTCAGCCCGCCCCGCGCCTGCGCTGCTCCCCAACCCACGGGACGGGGCCACCGGCCTCAGCCCGCCCGCAGCTCCTCGCAGGGTCACCCATCCCCATCCTCATCCCCACCTCTTCCCCACGGTTCTCCCCGGCTGAGGGGTCTATGGGTGGGCGCAGCCTGCAGGCGCTGGGATGCTCGGCCGGGCGGCGGGGCGGAACAGCTACAGCCCCTACGCTGCCGGGCGCCGCAGGACGGGGACGGTCAACTCTCCAAAGCTCTCCCTGGATTCGCTGCCCCGCTCGCCCTCCGTGCGGCTGACGGTACGGGGATGGTGGGAGGGAGCAGCCCGTGGGATCTGCAGTGCCCTCATCAGCTCTGCTCTGGGTGCTGCCATCTGCGTGGCCTCGTGTTCCAGGGCAGGATTGGAGGAAGGTGCTGCAGTGTTTGCCCCATTGCTGCCAAATGGTCCCAGCACACTCGTGGTGCACAGCTGAGGCTGTGTGGGGATGGAGGGGTGCGGGACCCAACCCCATCAGTGATGGCTTTGGGGCACGGGGGCTTAGGAGGTGCTGTCGGCCTCTCCCTTGGGGTGATTTCACCCCTAGAAATCTCTGTGTGTCTGCAACAATTCTGTATTGCTTGCAATTGCTGGCCCCGGGGGGCATCCCCAACCCCACAGCGTTGAGGACATGCTGGACTTGGCCAGGCAGAAAAAGAGGAAGGGATGTGCAGGGTCAGATCCTGCTGTCAATGAAACCCACCATCCTCGGGCAACGCCATCCCCAGGGTGACACTCACACTGTGCTGTGCTCCTGCAGGATCTGTCCCGCAAGGACTGCCTGGAAGCTCCCAGTTCTGGGGAGCTGCCCCCCACCAGCTCCAAACTCAGCAGCAGTCCCAGCGCTGTGGGCACCCTGAAACGCCCCACCAGCCTCAGCCGCCATGCCAGCGCCGCCGGCTTCCCTCTCACTGCTGCCAACCCCAGGGCTGTCCCTAAGGGTCACAAGACCCCCACATCCTACAGCCCCATGGAGGGTGGGGAGGGTCTTTTCATCGATGTGGAGGACATCTCCCAGCTGCTGACCGATGTGGCGCGGTTCGCGGATGCCCTGGAGAACCTGCGGGACGTGGTGCTGCGTGATGGTGAGTGCTGGGCTGGGTGCCCCCCAAGTGGCCACGGTGGGGGAGTGGGGACTGGGGGACCACAGGACCCCCACGGCATCGCCTGCTAACCCGTGGCACAGGGCTGTGGGGCTCCAGGGATGAAGGCTCCAGCCCTGCGCCTGGTCTGATGGCTGGGGGTCCCTGCCCTGGGGGCTGTGCAAAGCTGGGGGCCCAGGGGCTGAGGGTGGTGGGTGGCTGCTGGGAGCTCAGAGCCAGGATAACACTGCTTCCTGCCTGCGAGCTATTTTCATCCGCCTGCTTTCCTGTTTACAGCATAGCAGTGCCAGCTGCCTGGTAGTGGCCCCGGACCCCATGGGGCACCAGCACACCCCCGGCCCCTGGCCCTCATCCCCTTTGGGATGGGGATGATGCTCGAAGCAGGAGAGGGGCTGTGGGGTTGCAGGGCTGTGAGGCTGTGGTCTGCGGGGTTGCAGAAAGCAGCCACTATGGTTGCTCCCCACGGTGAGGTGGGGCTGCTGGGATCACATGGTGCCCTGTTTTCAGCAAACATGTTGACGCATCCTCACTCACAGTGGAAAACAGCCATGCCCAGATGTGGGGAACATGGTGTGAGAAAGGAGAGAGAGCAGAGGAAAGTCCTTCCCTACCTGGAGCTGGGGGCCAGGCTGCTGTTCTCAGTGCATCCCTGAGGGATGCTGAGCACTGCCTGAAGGGGCAGCCAGCACCCTGCCCTGAGCTCACACACTGCTTCCCCTGGCCCTGGGCACTGGGTAGGGGCTGTGACATGATGCTGGACCCCACGGGACACAGCCAAGCCAATGGATGGGGCAGGATCGTGTGACCAGCAGGGAGGAGGGGAGGAAATGGGAAGGAAATTCCCAAACCGCTTTCAAAGGAAAAATTTACTACCGAGGAAAAAATGCCTCCAAGGCGTGTCTGCACCATGGCAGGGGTGAGCACAGTACCAGGGATGGGGTGCATACAGGGGTGAAGTGCTGCCCTTTCTCCTGCAGACCCCAAGGAGTCCCAGCGGCCACAGGCTCACGAGTGTCTGGGCGAAACTCTGCGGGTGCTGCGCCAGGTGATCAACAAATACCCACTGCTCAACACTCTGGAGACACTGACAGCAGCAGGGACCCTCATATCCAAAGTGAAGGGTGAGCCCAGGGCGGGGAGCTCCGTCCCATTCCCACCCCGTGCTGGGGAGCTCATTTTGGGGCTGCCTGGAGCAGGGCTGCCAATGGTTGGCGCACAGAATGAAGGCGCTGACATCCAAACCCCAGCCCTATTCCACCCCCCTGCTCTGGTTCTACATCCCCATGTTTGTGAGTGGGGTCTGTAGGCTCTGGTCCCACCCGGGGCAGAGCAGTTACAGCTGTGATGGGGAGGGTGGGGGGTGGGAGGGCTGTGGTAACCGCAGGCACAGCACAACACTGCGTCACCGCTTCCTGGACACCGAGCTGTAACCACACGGGGACAGGAAACCTCGGTGCTGGCAGTGCTCTGCCATGGGGCCAACCCCATATGGGGGCCCTGGGATGGAGTGATGATGAGGATCTGGGTCCTCACCGAGCTGCCAGCATGGCAGAACTGTGTTCCTCTGTTGTCCTGACCTCCTCGTGCCCCTGACCCCAGTGCTCAGGATGTGCGTGAGATGGTCCGTGCTGTGGGTTGGAGGGCGCACAGTGGTGATGGGGCTCCTCCTTCTCCCCCACCTGCAGGCTTCCATTATGAATCCAACAACGAGACAGACAAGAGGGAGTTTGAGAAAGCTGTGGAAACCATCGCGGTGTCCTTCAGCAGCACGTAAGGGTTTTGCACCGCCGTCCCTGGATGCGGATGGGGTGCTGGGAGGTGGCTCTGCTTTGTCACCGCTGCTCCTCCTCTGGCTGACTGTGTTCCTCTTGTCACAGCGTCTCTGAGTTCCTCATGGGGGAGGTGGACAGCAGCACCATCCTCTCCATCCCACCCAGTGATCAGAATCAGGTGTGTGCTGCCTGCTGGGGGTCTGCTGGGGTCTCAGCCCTAACCCTGAGCACAGGGGTCCCCTCTGACCACTCCCGTTTTTCTGACGCATTCCTTCCTTTTCCGATTTCCCAAAGTCTATGGAGAGCCTCTATGGGGGGATTCCTGGGCCTGGAGGGGATGGTGTGCTCTCGGGCATGGAGAGCTATGACACAGGTGAGCAAGCAGCCATTGGGGTGGTCAGACAACAGAAATGAGCTCTGCCATCACCACCAGGACATCATCCTGGGCTGAGCTGCCCCTGGGGGCACAGCTGAGAGGAGATGGCAGAGCTGCTGCTGTGGGCATTGTGGTCTTCCTGGCTATTCTGGGGGTCCTAAGACCAGCCCAGCAATCAGCAGCAGCACGGTTTGGGATCACTTCCCTTCTCCTCTGTCCCCACATCACAGTCCGTCCGGCGGCTGAGGAGGTGGATGTGATGCTGCAGCGCTGTGAGGGAGGTGTGGATGCTGCCCTGCAGTATGCCAAGAACATCTCCAAGTACATGAAAGACCTCATCGGGTACCTGGAGAAAAGGACAGCGCTGGGTGAGACGTGGGGGGGGGAATGGCCCTGGGGTGGGGGATGGTCCTGAGAGCATTGCATGGGGTGAGGGAGCCAGAGCTGTTGGATCTGGAAGTGGGAGATTCCTGAAGTTCTTGACTTGCATCTAAGAAGGAACCCAACAAGCATAGAAACCCTTCTGTTTTGTCTCTCTTCACTTCCAACCTTTCTCTTCCAGAAATGGAGTTTGCCAAA